CCGAATTTCAGAATCAGGAGAAAACGGCTTCAGTCTCACTCTGATTTAAACTGGACTGAACTGTGTCCAGGAGAAGAACCTGAGATCAGGAGGAGATTCATTTACAGTATGTCTCGTCTCTGGGTTATTCCTAACAGTAGATTCTAAAGAGTAATAATAATTATGAAGATATTCAGAATACAGAGCAGACCGAAAAGACTGCTTTAATCTGTGTAACTGTGTCATACTGCACCAGTTCAGACTGGTGATCCAAACTGGTGAACCAATACAAACTGGTGAACCAATTAGATTGTGAAACAAAGTGGAGAACCAATCTAAATAGTGAATCGTTTGAAAATGGTAAACCATTTCAGGATGGTGAACCGATTCAAACTAGATGACCGATTCAAACTGATGAACCTGTTTGAACAGGTGATTCGATCTGAACATCAGGCCACTGTGAGTTTTTCTCTCCGGGCACTTTCGCCTTAATCAAACAGGACAGACGATGTTCAGGCACACAGGACACTCATTAAAAAGATGGTTCTTCAGGGATTCTTTAGTAAAGGCAATTGCTTATTTAGAACCATGAGTTCTATGTATTACCATTTCATGCTTAAAGGGTTCTTTACATGGTGAAAAGGTTCTTCAGTTTGTTGGAGAATGTGTTAAAGATGGTTCTATACAGAACCAAAAAGGTTCTATTGTTACAAGCTTGACATTGTAACAATAGCAGAACCCTTTTTGGTGCTATATAGAACCATATACAACACATTCTCTATGAACAGCACACACATGCTTCGGAGAAGAGTGTCTCTTCATACATGTAGATACATTCCCCATATATCTATCTATATATATTACGTGTCTAGTACCATATGCAGTACAGACGTATAACGGTTGTGTTCCTGAGCCTCCACAGGCTGCAGGTGGGCTTCAGGTAAATGAGCTGATGGATGGTGGAGGAGGCTCAGGGGAAGAAAACCTGCTGGAATTTCCCCAGAGGGAGGGGGAAGCGCTGAGCGAGGGGCCTGGTTCATCCATCTTAATTAAAACAGAAACATGTTTTTCCTGCATCAGCCCTCCCACCCGATCACAGCCGGAACACGGTTCCCACTCAAACACCCTCTCCACATCTGTCACACACAGGGCTGTAATTAATGTGGAATACGGTGGGATTTGGATGTTGGTGGGAAACTGTGGGAGTCTCTTCACATGAGCTTTAACAGGAAACAGAATCAGCAGTTTAGTGGTTAGCTGAACCATCTGCTGCAGTTCAAACACCTCAGCATTAAAGCAAGACTACAGTGTTCAGTGGAGCGTCATCACTCCAACTCATCCCCAAAGCTTCATCACTCCAACTCATCCCAAAGCTTCATCACTCCAACTCATCCCAAAGCTTCATCAACCCAACTCATCCCAAAGCTTCATTAACCCAACTCATCCCAAAGCTTCATCACACCAACTCATCCCAAAGCTTCATCAACCCAACTCATCCCAAAGCTTCATCACACCAACTCATCCCAAAGCTTCATCAACCCAACTCATCATCAATCCAACTCACCCCAAAGCTTCATCACACCAACTCATCCCAAAGCTTCATCACTCCAACTCATCATCAATCCAACTCATCCCAAAGCTTCATCACTCCAACTCATCCCAAAGCTTCATCACACCAACTCATCCCAAAGCTTCATCAACCCAACTCATCATCAATCCAACTCATCCCAAAGCTTCATCACTCCAACTCATCCCAAAGCTTCATCACTCCAACTCATCCCAAAGCTTCATCACTCCAACTCATCCCAACTCATCATCAATCCAACTCATCCCAAAGCTTCATCACACCAACTCATCCCAAAGCTTCATCAATCCAACTCACCCCAAAGCTTCATCAACCCAACTCATCCCAAAGCTTCATCACTCCAACTCATCCCAAAGCTTCATCACTCCAACTCATCCCAAAGCTTCATCAATCCAACTCACCCCAAAGCTTCATCACTCCAACTCACCCCAAAGCTTCATCACTCCAACTCATCCCAAAGCTTCATCAATCCAACTCACCCCAAAGCTTCATCACACCAACTCATCCCAAAGCTTCATCACTCCAACTCATCCCAAAGCTTCATCACACCAACTCATCCCAAAGCTTCATCAACCCAACTCATCATCAATCCAACTCATCCCAAAGCTTCATCACTCCAACTCATCCCAAAGCTTCATCACTCCAACTCATCCCAAAGCTTCATCACACCAACTCATCCCAAAGCTTCATCACTCTGATTCCAAGTCATTCCAAAGTTTCAGCATTTCAACACATCCCAAAGTTTTTTCACTACAACTCATGCCGAAGGTGTTCAGTAGAGCAGTATTCCAGCTCATCCCAAAGTTGTTTAGTAAATCTTCATAATTCCAACTTATCTAAAGGCTTCATTATTCCAACTCATCCCAAAGGTGTTTAGTGTAGTGTCACCATTCCAAATCATCCCAAAGGTGTTGAGTGGAGCTTCATTATTTCAACGTATCTCAAAGCTTCATCCCTTAAATTAATCAAGTTTTCATTATTCCAGCTCATCCCAGCAGAGTTCATTTGAGCTGCAGTCCATGCTTGACTACTCTGGATCAATTAAATTTCCCTCTGGGATCAATAAAAGTTTATCTAATCTGTCTTAGTGAAGTCAAGTCTGCCCACATATGGAGCTCAGTAAGGAGGTGTCGGAGTTGTGGGAATTCCACCATCAGAGCTCCAGCGGTTTATCTGCAGTTTGTTATTCTGTTTGTGCATCTATAAACCAAACGAACAGCCCTGAGAGCGTATCTGCCTTAATGGGCTCTGACGGAGCGAAGCAGGTCAGATTAATCTGCAGCTGTCCGACTCTCAGAGGCTCCATCAGCAGCGCGATAACCAACCCTCCGCACATACAGACCCTCCACTCACACGGACCCTCAGCACATACAGACCCTCTGCTCACACGGACCCTCCGCTCATACAGACCCTCCGCTTATACAGACCCTCCGCACATACGGACCCTCAGCACATACGGACCCTTCGCTTGTACGAACCCTCCGCTCATACGGATCCCTCCGCTCATACAGACCCTCCGCTTATACAGACCCTCCGCACATACGGGCCCTCCGCTCACACGGACCCTCCGCACATACAGACCCTCCGCTTATACAGCCCCTCATACACATACGGACCCTCAGCACATACGGACCCTCCGCTCATACGGACCCTCAGCACATACGGACCCTCCGCTCATACAGACCCTCCGCTCATATGGACCCTCCGCACATACGTACCCTCCGCTTGTACGGACCCTCTGCACATACGAACCCTCCGCTCATACGGACCCTTCGCATGTACGGACCCTCCGCTCATACGGACCCTCCGCTCATACAGACCCTCCGCTCATACGGACCTTCAGCACATACGGACCCTCCGCTCATACGGACCCTCTGCTCATACGGACCCTCAGCACATACGGACCCTCCGCTCATACGGACCCTCAGCACATACGGACCCTCCGCTTGTACGAACCCTTCGCTCATACGGACCCTCCGCTCATATGGACCCTTCGCATGTACGGACCCTCCGCTCAAACGGACCCTCCACACATACAGACCCTCCGCTCATACGGACCCTCTGCTCATACGGACCCTCAGCACATACGGACCCTCCGCTCATACGGACCCTCTGCTCGTACGGACCCTTTGCATGTACAGACCCTCCGCTCATATGGACCCTCCGCACATATGGACCCTCTGCACATACGGACCCTCTGCTCATACGGACCCTCAGCGCATACGGACCCTCTGCTCATATGGACCCTCAGCACATACGGACCCTTCGCTCATACGGACCCTTTGCATGTACAGACCCTCCGCTCATATGGACCCTCCGCACATATGGACCCTCTGCACACACGGACCCTCTGCTCATACGGACCCTCAGCGCATACGGACCCTCTGCTCATATGGACCCTCAGCACATACGGACCCTCCGCACATACGGACCCTCCGCTCATACGGACCCTCCGCTCATACAGACCCTCCGCTCATACAGACCCTGTGTGTCATTCTGTAGATCACACTGTCTGAGAGTCGCTCTCTGTCTCAGCACTCAACAACTTCCTGTGCACAAAAAAAATAAAGGAAAAGAAAAGCAAACAGATCTGAGTCAAAGTAAACATCAGAGGAGGACAGACGTCACCCAGAGAGAGAGAGAGAGAGAGAGAGAGAGAGAGAGGGAGAGAGAGAAAGAGAGTGAGAGAGGGAGAGAGAGAGAGAGAGAGAGAGCGAGGGAGAGAGAGAGAGAGGGAGAGAGAGAGAGAGAGAGAGAGAGAGAGAGCGAGGGAGAGAGAGAGAGAGGGAGCGAGGGAGAGAGAGTCGTGATTTTAGTTGCGTGACTTCACAGCCTCCTGACCAATCGGACGTCACTGTCCACTCAGATAACAGTCTGTATGTAACTGTATTAATGACAGTGCAGTGGTTTAGGACGCTGTGTCTGCCCTCTGAGGCGCCGCGGTCAGAGCTCAGATCCACACCTAACAGAATAAACTCGTTATCTAATCCAAATAAACTAATCACATTCTCAACTCCTCGTGTGCACAAACAGAATTACGGGTAATATGGGTGGAATCTAACCCCTGACTGGTCAGCCAAAGGACAGAACTGACTGGTCACGGGTTTTACATACAACCGAGAAAAGAGTTACTGTGGCGTTTGTTTATTTGATCTTTGTTAATGACGATGCAGACACAGATTTCATACATCACGTAAAATCATACATCTCCACTTCCGCCTTACATCTAGAGGGCAGCGCTCTGGAAGGGAAAATAGAACCGGAAGGGAAAATAGAACAGAAGAGCTGATATGTTTATAATTATCGTCCTAAAGAGTCTGCTTAGCTAAGTAGCTAATGCTAATCCTATTAGCATATATGCTAGCGTGTCATAAATTAATTTAGTGTTCAGTAATTTTTGGCACACGAAGCTGAGGGTAATAAACCTGCGTCCTACCTGGCAGGGGTACAGGGTGACCCCGTTAGCGCGGGACAGGTGTGCTGCAGGTGACCACATGCCCTCCAGGTGCGTATGTGTCTGCAGTGGCCCAGCGCTGCCATTATTAGGGCTGGTGGGTGGGTGTGGTGCCGGCGGTCCAGCGGGTTTGTTAGCGTGTCCAGGAGAACTGCCCTTCCTGTCCAGGCCGCTGCCGACCCCCAGGCTGCTGGGCTTGGGGCCGTGCTTTGGGTTCAGGTGGTGGGGACTGCAGGGGGTGGAGCCGTTGGAGGCGGAGCCATTAGCGGCAGGTGAGTGGTAGGGAAGGTAAGTCCAGTCCCGGGGCGGAGTCGGACCCTGCTGGACGCCGCGCGGCCCCCCCAGCGAGGCGAGGGAGGGAGGGGATCCGGGTGAAAGGTCACACTGGTCGAGGGTCAGCACCATATGCACGGCCTCCTGCTTCAGCTGACTCAGGTGGGTGGAGCAAACGTCACAGCGGCTCTCGCGCTCGTTCCACGCCTTCCGCGGGCTGCTGGGAACCTGCAGCTTATCATGCAGCAGCAGAGAGAGCGACGGGTCCTGGAGCACAACAGAGCAGAGAGTCAGACTAACATCACACTGTGAGACAGTCTGTAGATACAAACGCAGATTTCATACCGAATCACGTAAAATCATACATCTCAGTTACGCCTTACGTCTAATCAACATCTAATAATCTGATGTTCCTCATTAGGAGACTGTTGGTCCTGCTTTGTGAAATTACTGTAGGAGTATAAACTTCTAGACTTTTTAATACTTTATTTTTGTGCTTGTTTGAAGAATAAAGCTTCACAAGCAAAATCAACTCTCAAACTATTCCAGTGGATAAAATCACTCATACAGTAGGAACTTCCAGAAACAGGTTAAATAATCAAATAATATTCCCAAACAATCTCTAAATATTAGACACATCGTCTAGATTTGAGACGATTTCACTTGCCAACATATGATCGTATTAATGGACAGGAAAAGATCTTTCAGCCCCAACATTATATATTACAGCCTTTTTATCATAATACAGCAGAAATCTTCACCCATCTTCAACCGTAATGCTAATTTTTACTAGCACCTACAGCCTACTAGCTACTGTATGAGATTTCCTGTGTTATGTTAGCATCAAGCTAACACGTTTGTTTGTCCACACTGGGTTTAATACTGTACAAAACATCTAAAGCTGGTAAGACATTCAGGTAACTTATAGCATTAAAAAGGGTTCTGCTGTTGTATACATGCTTGATATTGTAATATAAAAGAACCCTTTTTGGTGCTATATAGAACCATTTAAAACACATTCTCCATCAGTCTGAAGAACCATTTTGCCACACAGAGAACCATTTAATCATGCAGATGGCTCTTTGTGCTCATGGTTTGACATAGAACCATTGTCTTTACCAAAGGACCCTTAAAGAACTATCTTTTTAACAGTGAAAGAGAGAAGAACAGAACAGAACCCGACGATAAATTAAGGTAAGGTGAATAAAAAGATGTCAAAATAAAAGACCCTAAGTGAGTGTTTATGAACAAACTGTCCTGTAAGGTATGTTTAGTAGGTGACGATGTCGGGCCACATCGGAACGCTTGGTGCTCCATGAGAGCAACATAACGGTCAAAAAATATTCCATTTACAGGACAAAGGCTTTTAATAATTGGGTCATTAATATAGAATTGATACAGAATGTCTGCAGTCAGATGTGCAACTTCCAGTGCAGCCAATCAGAGTTCAGAACCAAAGCTGTTTCATAATCTGTATTTTGGTATTTATGCTGACAAAATAATAAGTTTTCTTTGGGGATATTTTGCCTCACAGCGCCCCATTATCCCTCCACATGAATGGAGTTTAAGTGCTCTAAACTATCATAAAACAGTGTCTCAGTCATCAGGCAGTGAATTCATAACCATTTCATGTAGGAACTTTCTGTGAGGGAGCTTTTAGAGGTGGACGTCTGGTTCCTATCACCACCACTGTGAACAGTTCTGACTCGGTAAGTTTATCTAGAACAGAGCGTTTCACACCAAACCACTCTGAACCGCTCTGAACCGCTCTGTTTACATCTTAACCATTTGTAGACAAATTTAAAAATTCAGTGGAGTTCTCCTTTTAATGGTTATCTCTGAGCCCCATTCTGGTGTATTTTACCAAATGTTGCTCTGCTCCACTAACAGGTCTTTAATTTAAGAAAGCACAGATCGGTTACTGCGTCCAGGTCTCCCAGTGGGCAGCAGTGGGGCAGAGTGCCAGTCAGCCGGTGTGGGATTACCACCAGTTCGGCTCCACTGCCCCTCATACTGACCCCTCCCCCCACTGGCCTGCCCCGGCTCTCCCTGATGACACAGGGCAGTGGTCCAGCTAAACAAAGCCCGCAGAGAGAGAGAGAGAGAGAGAGAGAGAGAGAGAGAGAGAGAGAAAGAGAGGGAGAGAGAGACAGAGAGAGAGAGAGAGAGAGAGAGAGAGAGAGAGAGAGACAGAGAGAGAGAGAGACATACAGAGAGAGAGAGAGAGAGATACAGAGAGAGAGAGAGTGACAGAGAGAGAGAGAGAGGGAGAGAGAGAGAGAGGGAGAGAGAGAGAGGGGGGGGCTGTTCTGATTAAACTACACATTCCTGCTGTCAGAGTAAATCTGCAGCCACACTCTCGCCTTTCACCCATCACTTCAGCCCCTCCTTCATCCTCCACTCCACTCCTCCGTCCCCCTCACACACACTCTCTCACCTTGGGTCATCAACCTGATGGACAGTGAGGCTCTGTCCCCTTTAATCCCCTGAAGAGCCCATATTGTTCTTGCTTTGATGTTTAATGAATGTAAACGCTGTTAAAGTTTAAAATGTACCAGAACACACAATGTCAATGTCTCTTTGCCCGTTCCGCCTTAAAAGGTGCAGCAGTTACATTGTGGCTCCTCAGAACTTTTCTGCCTCAGTCTCAGAGCTGAACTCAGAGTCTCAGAGTGACTTCTGTTTATGTTTGTATTTGCATATTCTTGAAACTGACGCGTTTATTTCCTTCTTCTGCATGGATTTTACAGCATAACTACAATGTGAC